GTACATCATACTGTATGATCTTTAACAATCATACCTAAATTGATTTGGTGATTAGGGAATAATTATAGGTAGATTTCTCGATCATATAGTACGGGACAATATACCTAGATTATATAGGATGATCCTTTATATTTCATGGGATGATCCCATGTCATCCAAGATGAAATCCATAATTTTATTTTAATAGTTCATGAGATTGCATTTGACATCCCTAGAGGGTTGTGGGATGATATATAGATCGTCAGTCATCATCCCATGTCGTACTAGACCATCAATAAAGTATCTTGAACTAATTATCTAGGATAATTATCAATCATATTGGATGATCTATATAAATACTTAAATTAATCGTATAAAGTAAATCTGGTGGTCATACTGGCTGAAAGGGTTATTTTGTTCTAATCATATAGGATTATCTATCGATCATATTGGACAATCTTTGATGACAAAATTTATTTTTTATAGTTTTTGAAGCCCTTTATTTAAGCTTTCTCCAAATACATTATAAGTTTCTTTGGCATGCATTGAGTCTTCATTCTTATAAAGAAAACTTGAAGAGAGCCTTAAAAGAGAGAGAGGAAAGGGTGGAGTTTGAGAGGGAGAAGATCCTTGTGGGTTTCAAGGGAGTGTGGAGGGGGTTTCATATAGTTTCTCTAGCTAGCTTGCATCTTAGTACCATCGGATTCAAGGTTTATCTTGAGGGAAGTTTTGGAAAAAAGAAAATCTCTTTGGTGTTAAAGGACCCGGCTACTCCATTGTACCAGCGAAGGTAAAAGAGATTCGTTGTTCTTTGTCATCTTATGGAGGGAGAAAAAGGCATCAAGGTTCTTTGTTTGTGAACCGAGTTTTAGTCCTCTACCATATTGAGGTGGTCAAAGAGATTTTATAAGGGCTTCTCCGCCTAGTAGTGGAGGCTAAAGGAGAGTCATAAAAGGTTTAGTGCAATAACTGGAAGTTTGTTAGGGATTTTAGGCCCTATGAACTGGCTCAAAGCTAATTAAGAGAGAGAGGTGAATTGGTAAAAACTATCTTGCAATCAAAATAGAAATAAAAACCAATATCACCACAAATAAAACCAAATGAAAAAATTAAATGCGAAAGTAATAAAGGAAAGAACACACTAGATTTATAGTGGTTCGATCAAATCTTGACCTACGTCCACTCCTTGGAGGCACCTTCTAAGTATTGCACTAAACTAAATGTCTCTCCTTTAGCCCCTACAGGTAGGCGGAGAAGCCCTTACAAAATCACTTCCACCTTCTCCGGTGCGGTGGAGTCGCCGGGTCCGTTGACACCAAAGAGATCTTCTTCTCTGGTGAACTTCCCTCAAGACAAGCCTTGAATCCGATGGTATTAAGGTGCAAGCCTGCCGGAGCAACCGTGTTGAATCCCACTCTACACTCCCTTGAGTTCCCCCTCACAGGATCTTCTCCCTCTCAGACTTTACCCATTCCTCACTCTCTTTCAAGCTCTCTCTTCAAGTTCCACCCAAAAGAATGAAGCTACAATGGCTGACAAAGATGCTTACCAAGCATCATGTCATAACTTAAATAGAAGATCTCAAAATGAGCTCATTAATGTAAGTTACTGACTTTATCGTCCAGGATGATACTAATATCGTCCTGTACGATCAGTGCAAAATAAGCCCAATCAGTCAGGACGATTTGAGATGATTAGAAGAAATTTGTTCATATCGTCCAGGACGATAATATATCGTCCGAGATGATCAGTACAAATCATGGAATATCTTCCTGAACATTGCCCTAAAAAAGAGCTGTCTGATGTCCAATCGTCCAGCGTATCGTCCCGGACGATCCTGCTATCATCCAGGAAGATTTGATCATCCAATCAAGTCATAATTGCTTTCCTTAAATGCTAGATTAATTTTAGAAAAAAATGTCCTGGATCATCTTGGATGATATTTTATAGTCCTAGACGATCTCATAGACGATGTTCAAAAATAAGTAATTCCTAAATAGATTTAGAGGCAAATTCTTTCTATTTTGAACCTATCATCCTGGATGATACAAAATTATCCTAGTAGATGTTTTTTGCATAATGACAGATGCTTTGATGAGGATGACCTAATTAGGGTTTCTGCTTTTGAACCGACCGTCCAGGACGATATAAAATTGTCCTGGACAATGTTAGCAAAAATAGTAAACTCTAGGGAACAGTCAAAAATCTTCCAAGTTATAAAGCATCAGGAGCCACACCAAATACAATAGACTCAAGAAAGGAAAAAAATATACAAACTGACTCAAACCTAGTCTACCCAATCTTGAGCTGGTTCAAAATTGCAGTATGATCGTATGGACCTGAAATGTCAGAAGAAAAGGTAGTCGTAGAGAAATAAAAGTATTTTTTATCATCAAAATCATCATCCATGAAAATAGATCTGCAATAATCTCCCCATTTTTTATGATGGCAAACATTATGATTTGAATTTGCAAACAAGAAACATTTTCTCCTAATCTCCCTCTCACTAGAATAAAACTTTTAAAAAATAGGGGAGATAAAAAAATTTGTTTTTAATTTATTTTTAAGAAAGAAAATATACAAATACAACAACAACAACGATACGTTCTCCTCCTCTGATATTATCAAAAGGAGAATGGACACAAACAATAAGAACAAAATAATTAAAAGATAAAAATAATCCCTGATCTAGTGAACAGAATAAATATTTTTAAAATGAGAAAGTTACCTCTTGATTTTATTAAAAAACCTAGTGAGGAATGGATTGACAATGCATAATCCAGAAAAAGTAAGAAATTCATAAATTATTAATCCAAGCTCAAGTTCTTTTAAAGGCTTAAAAAACTTTTTAATCCAATATCCAAATTAAGGAATAAACGGGAAAAAGAAACATTAATTTTTCAAAACTCCTTTCATAAAACATATCTAATAGAAGATCAATGCACGAATTACTGAATCAGGAACCAGATTTTCAAGCACAAGTTCGAACATATCAAGGATTTTCTTAGGCTTTTAGTGGTATAAAAAAAAATAAGCATATTTTTTGTGGTCTCATTTTATGTCCTTTATCACTTGAATGGCTCTTTGAGCATCTTTTGATTTTTAATACACTTTATATATTTTTTTTCAATTTGACATCATTGCGCAGCTTTTGGTTTGGCATCATTGGCCACTTTTTTTATTATTATTTTCAAAAAATATGCTTTCTTTTTTATATTTTCAAAATTAAAGTAAATCCAAATTATTGACAACACAAACAACTTGATTAAGAAAATTTTAAGGTGGATTCAACAATTTTGCAAAAGATTCCTATGCGATAGAGAAAATGTAGGGAGATGAAAAAAATCAGTTTTAAAATCCAATTTAAAATATGATGAAGATTTTGAATAGGATGAAGATTTGAAAGTTAATTAAAAGTTGATTAAAAGCTAGATTGGGAATTAAATTGGAAAGTAAAATTGAGTTTGATTGGGATTGAACTGGGTCTTAATTGGGACCTATATGAATAGGAAGTAAACATCTTCCAATAATTAGGTCACTAGAAAGAAACCCAAGTGGGTCTTAATGACCTCATATAGAAATGAGGTCAATAACGCCCAGTGCCATGGTGCTCTAAACACGTTGTTGCATGCTTAATTCATAGTTACTCTAAAATAGAAAACTCAACATTATTGTATCAAATTTCAGAACCTCGGCATTACCTACCCCCCCCAACCCAATGCCATTGTGCCTTAAATTAATGAGTAGTAATGCTCTAGTTTAGAAATTTTTTTTTTTCAAATATATCAATTATAAGAACTTTTGGTCATTATAGTTAGCCTAACAAAGTCTTGTGATAAAATTTAAATAAGCTTTTTTTATCATTTTAATTACATGAGATATGTATTAAGACTTTCCAAACATAATATGAGCTCACATGTAGCCACTAATTTATCTGATTTGATTTAATTATGAAACAATCCAATTTTAAAAATAACTGAAAAATGAAAAAAAATCTAAATTCTTATTTGAATTGCAATGCAATGAAAAAAAATCTAGCTTTTTGGTCTCCATATCACTTTACCATTTTTATGAAAATTATTTAGATCGAGGAAGGTGATTCTAATCATATGTTTCTTTTCAATTATTTTTATTTTAACTATTTGATTCTCCATAAAACTGATTTAATTGCATTTTCCTTAGATTTATTGAATTTTTATAGAGCAACTTTTATACATTATCACACTGATTACCCTAAATATTTTGACTACGATAATTATAAATTTTACTAAGTAAAATGGATGTTATTAAGGATTTACAATGTATAGAAATTGGTGTTTTATTTAAGTATAATGTTAAAACATGCATTAATAATGGAAATGAATAAATATTGGGTAATACCATATCACTATTATTTTTATTATAATGTTTGTGAAAGGAAAGTAAAGACTAGTTGACTCACTGGTTGAAAGTTGATTGACATGGACAAGATGGTGGGCCAAAAGGCCTTCCTTTAAATACTATGGTTGGGTGTTATCCTCTAATGATTCATTTAATACAATGATATAATAATTGAGAGTTATAAAGATTTATTACTGCACCGATGGGTATAGAGTGATGACACTTTTATAAAGCTAACTTTGAATGATTATTGATTACCGACTACTAAAAAATACATTGATAGTCAGGGATTCTTACTTGTTTAAGTGTGATCTAAAAATACATGTCACATATTCATTATTATTTTACATCTTTATTAATAATGTATTGATTTAATGTCAGTATACATCTTTACTATTATTATAATCAATTTTACTCATGACATTGTACTGAAATTATTACCAATATAAATATTGAAATTGTTTGTTATTACTATTGATTCACTATTATTATTATTGTTATTGATTCAATATATTAATGTTGAGCATATTATATATTAAGCAAGTGATATATTGAGCATGTGATCAAAATATTGATTTAATATGTACAAAATGATTGGCCAATAGGCTTTTCTTTAAATATATTGGTATATATATATATATATATATATATATATATATAATGTTATATCTCTTGTATATGCATGCTCAAAACATGTCTTTTTATCCCTTAATCGTGTCCCCGGCAACCGGACCCCGGTGTGATAGTATGGGGATAGGAAAGATCCATTGCTAGAGAAATTGAAGGAGTATTGAAATTGAAATTTTGATTCAGCCCAAAACTAACTGATGATAAAACCCATCTTAATTTCCTATTTATTGACGTACAAAAGGGATAACAAAATTTAAATAAATAATTAGAATAGATAAGAATGCATAAAAATGATTTTTATCCCTAAATGCAATCCCCAAGCCTAAATTTAAGACATGAAACATGAAACGAACTTTCATATTTCAAGAAAATAGAATTAAATAAAAATGAAAGTACTAAGGTTCGCAATATTTATGAATTGATTATAATTTTAAGAATAATAACTATCACTTAGATGAAGGTCAAAGATGCAAATGATAAGTTTGTCATACTTTAATTGGGTTGATCTTTGATAGACCCAAACTATAGCCTGTTTGGATTGATTTTCTCATCTAAATTTTTTTCTTGATGAATCAAAATTTGTGGTCAAGTTCATTTAATGCATTCAAAACTGATTCCAAAGGTAAAAATTATAGGTCAAAACTAATGATGAATGCATTTTAAAGACTTTGATGGCCGGCCCCATGAAAGATTGGAGGCATTTTCAATAGAGTCGTAAAGGAAGAATTCAAAATTAAAGCAAGAAGACTTATCATCATTCCCTGCTTGGCTGTCCCATGCATGGTTGGAAGATCAGCAGTTAAAATGCAAAATTATATTTTATTTTCATGCCATCCATGTTTTGGAAAATTCTATTACAAAAGTAAAAATGAAAGGGTACTTTGTAGTTAGTAGAAGACAACCTGGGGAACACCAGCATGAAGTGCTGCAGCAGTGGTTCCGCTGTGACCAATTCCATAAGTTTTCTTGTTAAAATATTGAAAGTGATAAAAAAAAAAAAGATTTAGCTGAAATAGAACAGCACCTGCCTCCATGATGAACTACAGCTGCACACCTTGGGAACAGCCAGATGTATGGAGCGGTTCTGTTTATTTTTAATCAAATAAAACAACAAAAAAGTCTCAGGTCATCATCAGATTTGTAAAATAGAACTTGATAATGCCCTGCATGGAAGATTAAAGCTTCGTTTGGGACGGCTTTCTTTATGCTTCTTAAAGCAGCTTTTTAGTATAAAAATTTTACTTCAAGAAGCAGTAAAAAACCGTCCCAAACAAAGCCTAAAAGGTGCTTACCCAGAAAAACAAAGGAGCCTATCACTTTATGAAATTATATCTTATATTTTTTTTAATAAATTCAATTACCAATTAATTAAGGGTTTGTATGAGCTGGTTGTTGTATTTTGTGAAGGTGACTGTAATGCTCTTGTAGTATTTTTTTTTTAAGTTATTATGAAAAATAGCTTACTAGCATAATTTTAAAAAAAAATAGCAAGAAAGTAATAGCTAAACAAAATTGTGGTTGCATATAAAAGTTGTCTCTAATAGACCCTAAATCAAAATCAAATAACAAAAATAAATTTTTTTGGTAAAATTTATTTAAAAAAACAAAAAAAAATTAATATAAATATAATAGAAAAAATAAAGTTTTTGATACAGACATAGAAAGAGCAGAAAATTTTGATTCATATTCAAAATGAAAATAGATATTATCTCAGAATATCTAGATCAAAATTATGCAATTTATTTTAATATTTGTAATACAAATTTTAATTAATTTTTTATATATTATATTTATCACAAAACAAATCTAATAATGTTAATATTTAAATTAAATTTAGCTTTCATTTGTAACAATTTTTTTTCACTATTTTTTCATTACTTTCAAAATATTTTTTACTAAAAAAAATGCTTTAAAAAACAGTATAAAAACAGCCCCAAACAAAGCCTAAATCAGATATCCTGATCCAGACTTTTTCACATGCAAAGCTAAAAAGCATAAACACTGTTAATTAAGGGAGAAGAGATAACTTGAACAAATCTCCTTTAATTCACAAAAAATTAAAATAAAAATAAAAAATAAAACGAAAAACAAAAATTGAAATTTTAATGTGGCAGGGAAGGATTAAGCAGTCATTGTCAGCGCCATGTCAGCTGCTCCAGTTATGGCTTCCTTGAAAGTTCTCTCGTCCCAAGTGGAACCCTGCAACGACAATTCCCACGTTAAGATCCCTTTCTTTATTCAGCGATCATAAGAATATTAAATTTATATTTAAATATTTTGTCATAAATCAATCAATTTTCTCTCTCTATCTCCTTCCCTTTCTCGCTCTTTCTAATATCATGAGACGTGGAATAAGACACGAAGAGGAGGTGAACGGTGTTTCTTGGGAAAAGCTAGATAATAAGACAGCAGAAGAATCAAATGCTGTCTATGTTAGAATTAAAAAAAAAAGCAGATAAAACTTTTAATATTCTTATATGACATCCAAGCATTTTCCTTTTTTTCTTTTTTCTTTTGAGCAAATTAAATCTCATTTGTGAACTTCTACCTTAAGATATACTAGTTGAAAGCATAAGCTCCTAATCAATAGACTAAACGGCTTTCTTACTGCTTCTTAAAGCAGTTTCTTAATTCAAAATTTTAAATTTTTGAACTAAAAAATTGCTTTAAGATGCAGTAAGAAAGCCGTCCCAAACGAAGCCTAAAGGTCTGCTTGAAATGGCTACAATGTTTTGCATAGCAATTATGAAGTTGTTATGATAAAAGTAACTTTTTTTTCAAAAGCTGTAGTGAATATTATAAATATGTTCTTCTTTCACGTCATATCAATGAATTGTTCGAGTATTCAAGAAATATGATTTATATAACACATACTTAGCTTCCTCTAGGGAATTTCTATGCAAAAATTTATCCATAGCTCTAAATGAGGGGAAAAAGAAAAAGAAAAATAAAAACAATTGAGTTGTTCAAAGCTCATACCTCTATGGTCAGTTTCAGAGTTGCCAATAGTTTCATTTGCTGTGAGTTAGGAATAGTATCAAAGGACAACAGGCTGATAGCCTTCATAGCTTTTATGCATTCAAGAACTTGGAGAACTACTCTTATCAAATCACATTGAACTCTCACCATTATGACAAGCTCTATTTGCTGAATTTCTGCTGTAGTTTTTTCAGAAGATTTATTGATCTGAACTTCTACTCTTTCAGATGGTTTGGATTTTTCCTTAACATCAGTATTTCGAAGCAAATTTTCCTCAAGGATTCTGTTCTTCTCCTCAAGATCATATATTTCATCTTTCAATGTTCTTACATAGCTCACTGTTTTACAGAGCACAGATGTCTTGTCCTTCTGTCAATAATAAGAATATATCGTTATGTTAATTAGAAATATATAAAGTACAAATTGTTGTGTTGTTTATTGTCTTTGTGTTTTGACTCCATAAGTTTTAGCTTTATGCAATGTATCATTTATAGTGAACTTTGTATTAGTATTAACATCAGTAGAGATTTAATAACTTCCAATAGAATTAAGAGCTCATTTGGTTGATTGCAAATCAAAATTACTGTTTGAGTTTAATTAAATTAAAACAAAATGATGGGTTTTACAAATTTTATGTTTTTTTCAAATTAAAATTTTATTTGAATTACGCATCACTTTATTGAAATGTTGTAATTCCAAAATAAATTCATCATGTGTAGTTGTAAGTAAAATTTATTATAAATTTCAAATTCATTATCTGATTGAAGGTAGTTTCACATATTTGATTTTGATTTATTGCCTATTTTGCATGTGATCATAAATTTTTTACATTTTAGAGTTTATTAAGAACACATTGATTGCAAATTACATTCATTGAATAGCAAATTTCATTATTTCTTAAAATATGTTATTATTCACAAGAAATCAAATATTGTTAATTTTAATATAGAGCTATGCAAATAAAAAGCATAGATTCAATACACACAAAATTTAAATAAATTATTAGGTGCAAAATTCTCACATGAAGATACTTAGTTAGGACACATATACAATTATTATAATACCCTAATTTGTGATGTATCCACACACCCCTATTTGCACCTAATAATTTATACAAAATTGACGAGCTATATTATATACCTTAGAACCAGGAGGAAGCAACTGCCAAAGAGAATGAAAACTAGCATTCAGCCTTTCTCGACGCCTTCGCTCTGATACCATATGTTGCATTTGATAAGCACTTGGCGGTGTTTCTTCCATTTTACCTTCATCTTTCAACATGTTAACACTTCTCAACATATTGTGTGCCTTCTTTATCATATTTTGGCCATGCAAATTCTTATGACTCTCTTTTATTGGAGGCTTCAAAGAGCTATAAGGCTGGAAAGAACTCATTGGTGGGCAGTAATTTGCTTGGCTCTGATATGTCTGAGCTTTCTGATATGATGTTGTTGCCGGTGATGATGATGATGATGACGAAGAAGAAGAAGAAGAGATGACGGAGAGCATAGCTCTTGTGAGTGCCATCTCCTCCATTGAGGCTAATGAAAATGATTGTTGTTTTTCCTTTGATGCGGGCAACATCAGTTGATCAATCATCATATAATTTGAGGAACTTGCATCAAAAGAGCAGCTTGTGTTGCTTGGAAGCTGAGATTGTTCATTGGGAATTTGAAGAGGTGGGTGATGGAACAAATTTGATTGATGAAAATTCCCTTTTTGGCATTGTTGTAAAATGTCCCCAGATACTTGAGATGTTGAATCCATAAGCATGTCGAGCTGATTACAGTAACCATCATATTGCAAATTAAGTTGTATAGTCTAAATTTTGTATGATGAGAAAAAAATGATCTTTTGATGATTTTATTGTATTTTTTATGCGGTAATTTTTCATTATCTTTATGTAATGTTTGAGATACTTAAGGGAGTAAAGGCTCCATAACAAAATCATAATAAAATTTACAACGGCTACAACAAATAAAAATCTTTATACGTTTTACAAGTTGGTCTTTTCACTGTTTATTGGTCATTTTTGCAGTCATGATTTTAATTAGATTAGTCCAGTTTCCCAACACATAAGTCTAAATGTTTCAGATGAACTTTAGCTAAACTTATGATATCATAACCAGGGAAAGAATGTTGTAGTTTATATTCGAATACCCACAGAAATATAAAATGTTGTTAAATATCAACAGAGAGAGAAAGCTATGAGTGTTGCAAAAATTAAATAGTAATAATTATTTGGAAATCAAAAGAGAAATTTAATCGATATTAAATAAGATAGTGCTGTCACTAAAACCTCATTAAGCTGCTCCTGAATCTCCACTGCAGATGAGTTGAGAAGATCTGTGTCGCCTAATTCAACTCGATCAACTACTTCTTCATGACAAATTCCTGCAACATAGCTACAAATACCAAAAAGGGGAAATTAAATCTAAAATCTCAAAAACAAATGAAAAAAAAAATAGAAACGACCAGCTTTGATAAAATTAACTAGGAAATAAAAAAGCGCAGATGAGAATTACTTGTCATCCATGCTAGAGAAAGAGCTCCAGTATCCACTGAATGGCTTCTGAGGAAGGCTTCCAGAGGAGGAGCTTGAATGGTTGTTATCATCTTCAAAACACAATACATCCATGGAGCCTTGATCCATTGAAGTTGGAGAAGAGGAGGAAGAAGAAGAAAAGGAAGTTTTATGTTTCTACTCAGAACTCAACGAATGAAGCCATGGAAGAAAGGGGTGTGTGAGAAAGGAAGGAGTTTGCTTGATTCTTTAAAAAAGGAAATGAAACTTGAAGGAGAAGAAGGTGGAAGGTAACGGCCGAAGGCAAGCGATGGAAGGCTTCCTCAGAAGTATTGTGAATAAATATGTTGGATAATGGACTCATGGAATTGGAAATTTGGAGTTTTATTCATTTAATTTTGAAGTTAATTGCTTGGTCTTGGGGCACATGCCTTCAGGTCTGGCTTGATTGAAAACAAAAGTCACCGGTGACTTTCAAGGAAAGGGGGCCTAAGGGAATCGTATTGACCTTGACTGCACATATGCTGATGGGAGGAAAAAGTATTGGACTGCAGAAGAGATTGTTAGGTGAGTGACATCGTGAAGAGTTTTGATGGGGAGGCAGCAGGACAGGAACTATTTTATCTCCACTAATGGCTTTCTTTGTTTTTACCTCCACTGCTTGTTCTCTGTTTCGTCCTTTTTCCATTATTTCGTTTTGCTTCCACTTTTTATGGCAGTAGGCTTCGAAACGAAATAATGGGGGAGAGACAAGATAGATGAGAAGAAATACAAAGTAATTACAGCTTACAGTACTTCCCATTCTCCCGGTTATTTTCCTGTTATGGGTATTCTTAAATCTGCTACGACAGAACTGGTATCAGAAAACAAGACCTGGGAGAAATGATTGAATGCAATAAGTGGTGGAGTCAGGATTTTCTTTAATCTGTAGACACAAATTATGAATGCTAAAAATAACCTCAACATTTTTCATCAAAATTTGAGATTGGTATCGGCAGTTTTAAAAACTTTTTTATTCGATTTCCTATAAGAAAAAAAGACATTATTTTTAACTTATTTGAATTGAAGATTGCGATCCTCCTCTCAGCAGCGTACACAATTATAATTTATTGAACACCTGTCCTTAAAATGGTCCAATTCTTTTCTTTCGCAAGATAATTCTTTGCTTATATAAATGGAAGTTGCAAGATAGCTTAATGAGATTAACAATTATTAAATTGACTAAAAGGAAATCTCAAAAATAGCAAGTAAAAAAAATAATTGAAAATATTTGTATAATTGCATTTCTTTTTGTTGCGTCCTGGAATATTCACGGCAATAAAGAAATATATAGTTTAATGTCTTAGCTTTGTACCAAGATCTAGCACACAATCGTGTGAGAGAGATGATGTAGCATTCATAAAAGACACCAAGATTTTTATATAGAAAATCCTAAAAATGGGAAAAATCATGGGGCCTAATTCAGCTTGAATGAATCCACTAGTATTTGCAATTGATTAAAAATGAGGATCTTCATTGGAAGGAAGGCCTTCGCTTGATGTAACAAATATACATGATATAAAGTGTGTTATATGGTTACAATATGAAGAATCACCATTGTTGGCGAGGGATGTCAAAATGACAGTAGTCGGCGGGCGAAGGAGGTCATAAAAACTGTTGTCTGGCAATGGAGGTCAAAAAAATTGTAGACGGCGGGCGACGGAGGTCAGAAGGACAACATCGTGTAGAAGTCTGGCATCAGGCAGAAGTCCGAAATTGGGTAAAATTTCTTTGAAAGTTTGATGATGGATGGAAGTCCGGTGTCGGGTAGAAATTGGGCGATAGGCAGAAGTCCGGTGTCGGGTAGAAGTCTGTCATCTTGTAGAGATCCGGCGTTCGTCAGTAGCTGGGCGAAAGTCTAGCGGTGGTCGAGGAGGAGTTTGGTGGTAAGGGACTCTTCATTCTCTTCTTACTCGGACCTCGTTCTTCCTCCCTCGGGCATCCCCTTCTATGAGAAATGAGGGGTCTATATATAATTTTCTTAGAGTGGAGTGACCAGTAAATAGAAGGAAGATCAAGGGTAATTTGGGAGTGGTTTGAATGGACAACTGATGTGGATTCCCTCGATCATGGACCATTTATTTGGTATTTGTATGTCTTAATGACATCAGAATTTGATGATGTTGGGCTTGTTGGATTCGTCTGGTCGAGCTGCTTGATTTGACTAAAAACATGTCATGTTTGGAAACTGTTTAGTGTTCCAAATTATGGATTGAACCGTCCAAATGGTCTTCTGGTCTTTAATTTGGTATCATTTGAGCTCGGATCAAGTCGAATTCGGTGTCATTGGGTTCATATTTCTGGGACGTTCAGTTTACTTTAAGTTTGCTGAAATCAGAGTTTAGATGGTCTCCAATTTAATTTTTGAAGTTTCTAACTTGAATTTGCCTTGAGATGCGTGCTCGATCAATATAATTATTTTATGACATATCAGTTGTCCCCCTATTTTCGGACGTCGAAGCTCCAAAAACCCAAAAATATGTGTTATAGCTTTTCTAATTTCTCGAATCATAAAATATTGAAAAATTACACTCCAAAATTTTAAAATGGCTCAAAATTGATCATAAAAGCTCCGTTGAGCTCTGAAAATGTCAAAATTAGATCCATAATATTAAAAAATATTTCCATGAACCCTTAAAACATTCTATTTGATTTTCAAAATCAGAGCCCGGACGTGCTTAGGCGGCCAAACTGGCTGGCGTAGAGCACAAGAGAAGTTATAAATTTTGTTTGATAATTCATCATTGTTTTGGCATGAAAGTTCATTATTCATATATTCTTACGAACCCATCAACACCGTTGCTTGTCCGGGTGGTGAAGAGCCGGCTGGGCAAAGCCTAGGACCTTGGTTTGAATCCCTTGGCAAGCACTAAAAGTCTTAAGTGCTGGCTAGTGTAAATTGGTGTGTGTTGCATGTTAAGTCGACCGGGATTTTCACTGGCCTAAGGACAGTGCTTCCTCGTCATATATATATATATATATATATATATGAATGAGAGTAATGTTGAATGTACCTCCTTCCCTTTGATTTATTTTCACGCATGTTGTAATGCTTTTTCTATTTTTTTAATCATGTACAATGTTTCAGTAATGAGGTCTATTGTTTATTATCTAGTATGATTATTACCCTTGTCCATGATTTAGAGATTTCCATAAAAAATAAAAATAAAAACTTCTCAAATATATGAATTGAGAATCAAATTCATAAAGCTGGATGCACAATTGGGATAATGCTAAAAATGAAGATGATTTTGATTTAGAGATTCCATTATTATTATTATTATTATCATTATGAAGTGTATAGCTTGCTCTAATTGTACTAAAAGTTATTTAATATTAAACTTGTAGCAGAAAAACCCTATTGCACAGGCGCACCCCTTGTTAATAGCTCTTTTTGTATATCAACACAATATAACCATTTAACTAACTAAACATTATTTGCTATATATGATTACATAGAGACGTCGCCGGGGGGAAGAGAGAGAGAGAGAGAGAGAGAGAGAGAGAGAGAGAGAGAGAGAACCCTGTGTAGATGATGAGTCATTGAGGAAGAACAATGATATTATGATAAGAGAGGGGATTTACGGCATCGATGATGGAGAACAACACGACCGCATGAGAAGAGGGTTTTTTGCATCATATAGCCACTGGGGGCCCGCGCCCCCACCATGCATCTGCTAGTGAAAGGCCTTGCAAATTGGAGTCCAAGTACTATAATTTTGATGATAACAAACATTATTATTTCTTTACTTCTAATAGTATTGCACATTTATTTTCTTTGCCCACCTTACTAACCTTTCAGGTCCACAAATTCAATTGCAATGAAATCAAGTCAAGATCGTGTATACTAGGGTTGAGTCTATCTATAATTTCAATTTCAATATATTTTTTATCTTTCTTGAGTCAAGTCTTATATCTAGTGGACCCCAAGCTAAGTAACCTTGCACACACACACACACTTAAGGGGGTGAGTAAGTGAATTATGAGAAAATGGATTTTTGAACTATTCATATAGTACAATGTAAATAGTATTGTTCAATCTTCTATATAGGAACTCATAATTAGGGCACCTATTATTAAGTAAGATTGCTTAACTAATCATATTAGACACTTCAAGATCATCCAAAATGATTAGTTATAGACATGAAAAATAGCTGCCAATCATAATTTAAGTAATATTTTAAACTTTGAATTTATTTTAATCGTACAAGACGATATACATCATACTGGACAATCTATAACAATCATGCCTAAATTTATCTCATGATTAGGGAAATAATTATGGTTAGATTACTAGATCATATCGTATAGGGTGATCTACAATGGTCGTATTGGATGATATTGAAAATTTCATGAAATGATCCCCCATCGTCCAAGACGAAAACCCCAATTTTCTTCTAATCATATAGGTGATCATACTAGACGTCCCAAGGGATAAACATGATGATATTTAAATCGCCTCCCATCATTACATAATGTGCTGGACGTTCAATACAATATCTTGAACTAATCGTCTCGAACGATCGCAAAATTGTATCGAACTATATATACAAATACTTGAATTGATCGTACAGGGCAATGCTGATTGTATTAGCTGAAAGGGCTATTTTGTACTAATCATACAGGATGATCTAAGGATCATACTGGATGATCAAAAGCATAGAATTGAAAATTAGGGCTTCTTTTGAGGCTCTTTATTTAAGCTCTCATATTGTCCCTTAAGAGAATCTTTTGCTATGGTATTGATCTGAGAGAGAGCTTAGAGAAGGAAGAGAGAGAGCATGGGAGAGAGAGAGATCCTTCTGAGGGGGAGTTTTGAGGGATTCACAAAGGTTGTTCCAAGCAAGATTTCCACCATCTTCTTCAAGTTGCTTTTCTAGTTCCTTAGTGGCTCTGGGTAGATCATCATCAATATCACATCTAGGTTCTCTACTATCATTAAGAGGGTAAAAAAGAATTCCAAGGTTCTCTGTCTAATCCAAGAGGGAATAAAAGGATTTACAGATTCTCTGGCTACTATATGAGGGAGTAAAAGGATTCATAACATCTGCCTCACTAGGTCGATGGAAAGATTTTGTAAGGGCTTCTCTGCCTTATCGTGAGGGCAAAAGGAGAAACACTACTTTTAATGCAATACCTATAATGGAGATTTTTGAGAATGAACATAGGTCAAAGTGACCAAACCACTATAAATCTGGTGTGTTTTTTCTATTTATTTTTCTCCATTTAATTTTTGTATTATTTTATGATTTATTTTGTGGTTGAAATCTCTAGTTTTTATTATTCAGACATTAGTGTTGCTTACGTATAAATTATTTGTTTTAAAATATTTAAAAAGATTTCAAAAAGATTTTATTTTTTGCTAAGAAATTAAAAAAAAAAAAACCAATTCAACCCCCCCCCCCCCATTCTCTTGGTTAGTCTCGAGCTAGTTCATAAAGGTTTAACAACCCTCATAACTTTTAAGTGTTTCAGAGTGGGATTCAAAATTAAGTTTTAGAAAAAAAAAAAAAAGATTTATGGCTAACTTTAGTAATCATAACACTACGAAAGAATACTCAATCACTAGACCACTTCTATTTGATAACATTCCTTTTAATTTTTGAAAAACTTGCATGTCCACCTATTTACAATCAATTGATT